GTAGAAAAAAAGTGAATAAATGAAGCATGCTTTGTAGAAGACAAACCCTAAATAACTAGTAAATGAAAAAGGTGTCTAACCTGCTTTCTTGTTAACACTATTAACAATACAAAATTACTGTGTTGCTGTGTCGATACACAAGGCACCGTGGAGGCATGGTGGGTTTTGAATGACCTTGCTAAGCACGAAGTCGGCAGTTTAGACACACCATCTGTCGACAGATGCGGCTGTGTTAGGAGTGACGGCCTCAGACGCCCAGAGGCAGTGCTGCTCTGCCCTGTCCCTGGGAGCTGGAATCGACTCATCGGCAACGATAGTGATACTAAAACATCTAGGTCTCCGGTTCTTTGAAACAGCCGTTCAGATTATGATAGTTTAAAGGAATCCATTAATGCCTGTGCGTATGTATGTTTGCACCCTAATCATTTCTTTCAATATTAAAGTTCATTTTGACTGAGCCAAATTATGCATACACTTAACCATTTTTTGGATTACCAGATTGCCTCCCCAAAGTCCCTCTGATTTTGAATGAAGTAGAACTTCCTCCCAAACTGCCAACACAGACATTGTCAGTCTTTTGGTCTTCGTTGGCCTAATAGGTTAAAAAAAAATTCTACCTTATTTTAAAAGGTTTATTTTTGCTAAGAGTAAGTATTATTCAATGCTTATGTGCCATTTGTTTTTCTTCTCTTTTTAAGGGTTTATATCATTTACCAAGTTGTGTCCTGGTGTCTATATTGATTGTATGAGAGCTTCTGTTTTCTAAACACACTAATCCACGGCCACATTAGTGGCACTGATTAGATCTTCATGTTGTGCCACCATTCACACTCACCTTTTCCGAGGTGGCCCCTCCCTCACTACTGTGATTGTAGGACGTTTTTATGTATCAGTATCCCTTTTCTGTTCTTGTCACATGTGTTGCATTTTCTTCTTTGCTGTTACCTGAGTGTGTCCCTCCCACAGCACCCTTCCTAGGATCTCTCCTGTGTCCCGTCATTCATTGCAGTGGCCACACAGAACTCACGGGCACTGCTCGCCATTAGGGCATTTATTAAGGAGGTTAATAAAGTTGCGAATGCTCAAGATACAATTATTTGGACAGGACAGACTCTTCCCAGCTGTGCCCACAAGGCAGACCTCTCTCTGGTCTTTGGCCTCTGCCCTGCTCACGCAATGATCCAAAGCTTTTTTAGGGCTCCTAATTAATGTCCGAATCAATTTGATGGCAGTGAGTTTGGTTTTGAGTTTTATAAATGCTCAAGAAGACATGCCATGCCACCATAAGCCTCAGTGTGAAGGCAATCAGCAAGCTCCTTGAGCTAGCAAACCCAGATCTCCCAATTGAGTACCTCAAGGGATCCCACTCCACAAGTCAGCTTCCTATCCAAAGGCATGAAGTTTTCCTTGCTCTGTGGGGTAGGAAGTCCTCTGTACTGTTTCATGCTCTGGCTCCTGGTTCTGCTGCTACCACTCCTGTGCCATGCCTTCGGTCTCAAAGCTCTCTCCTGGACCAAGGAGAATCAGTGCAGGAATCCTGAAGTTCAAAGAACATGCTCCACGACCTGGCTCTTCTCCTTTACTGTTAGCTCGAACCCACCCATCCTCTTCTAAAATGGCTCATTTTATCCCTTGCTGGATGGTATAATCATAGTTAGCCCTGTTAACTGAATCACATAACCTGTCAGTCTCTTCCCCTGCAGTTTTCTTACCCAGACGCATCAGGAATAAGTCATTTGGTGGGAATTACACATATTATGACTGAAAGAGTCATATTAAATAATTCACTGTACTGCAAACTTTAACTCTGTTCTGGTTCCCTTTGACAAATTATCTCTTAATTCCATTTTCCATGCACTTTTTGACAACTCCTCATATTTTGTATGTCATCTTTTATGATTTCCACATTTTCATGTGTTATTGTTGCTATTGATAGATTAATATTAATATATGTATTAAGTGCCATCGAGTCAGCTCCAACCTATAGCGACCCTGTGCACAGCAGAACGAAACATGGCAGGATCCTGTGCCGTCCTCACAATTGTTCGAGGCCTGAGCCGGTGGTGCAGCCACGGTGTCAGTCCATGTCCTTGAGGGACCCCTCCTTCTCTGCCCGTCCACTTTACTAAGCATGATGTTTTCCTCTGGGGATTAGTCTCTCCTGACAATATGTCCAGAGTATCTAAGATGAAGTCTTGGCATCCTTGCCTCTAAGGAGCACCCTGGCCATACTTCTTCCAAGACAAATCAGTTTGTCCTGTAGCAATCCATGGTCCTTTCGATATGTTTCTCCAGCACCACCGTTCGAATGCATCAGTTCTTCTTCGGTCCTCCTTGGTCAGTGTCCTGCTTTCATTTGCATATGAGGCAATGGAGAAGACCATGGCTTGCGTCAGGTGCGCCTGAGTCCTCAAAGTAACATCCTTGCTCTTCAATGCTCTAAAGAGGTCTTGTGCAGCAGATTTACTTAATACAGTTTGTCTTTTGACCTCTTGACGGCTGCTTCCATGAGTATTGATTATGGACCCAAGCAAAACACTTTTCTTGACACACACCCCCCCCCAAAAAAAATCCTTAACAACTGCAAAATTTTCTCAATTTATCATGATGTTAACTATTGGTCCAGTTGTGAGTACATTAGGTTGTAATGCATACTAAGGCTACAATCCTTGATCTTCATCAGCAAGCATTTCAAATCCTCTTCACTTTCAGCAAGCAAGGTTTTGTCATCTGTATATTGCAGATTGTTAGTAAGCCTTCCTCCAACCCTGATGTCATACGCTTCTTCATATAATCAAGTTTCTCTGATAAGTTTACCAGTGTACAGATTGAACAAACATGGTGAGAAGATATAAACTCTCCTGATTTTAAGCCAAGCAGTATTCCCGTGTTCTGTTCACATAACCGCCTCTTAACCCACGTACCAGTTCTGTGAGCACAGTGACGTGTTCTGGAGTGCCCATTCTCTACAAGGCGATCCACAGTTTATTACAGTCCACACACTTGAATGCCTTTGCATCGTCAGTGAGACACAAGTAGACATCTTCTGGTATTCTCTGCCTTGAGCCCAGATCCATCTAACATCAGCTATGTTATCCCTTGTTCCACATCCCCCTCCTACTTTACTTATTTTTTATTTTTTTCACATCCTCTTCTGAATCTGGCCTTAATATATAGTATGCATGTATTAGTTGATGCACTTAGATTTCCTTGATCTGTATTAGTCTTCGTTCCAGTAAAGTATTGCATTTTTAATAGTGCCACAAGGAAAATATTCGGCCAACCACATACAAATTTGAAAATGCAATTCCTATCATTTGTTTTACTTACCATCTTTTGTTTTTTTGCCATTTTTAACACATCGTATTAGTATTTCTACATTAGTTTATCTCTATTCATTATTTCTTCAGTTCCTTGTATCACGTACATCAATGTTTTCTCCCTTCGATCATGTTTCTCTCTCTAAATTTTAAGGTGAAGAAAGAAGCTTTTTTGCACATGCCTGGCACAGTTCCGCTTACTAAGTGGTTGCTTCTTGATGATGGCCACATAGCCGAGGCTCTCGGGCCATGGCAAGGTCATTAGCTCTTACAAACTGGGTGCAGGTCCTACCAGCAGCAGACTGTTGTCATCCTTTGCTAGACGTGACCGTGATATTTCAAAGAGAGAATGCTATTGTGTTACGATGAAATGGATCCCTACTGTACTTCCTCTCACTGCTTTCAATTGACTCATCATATAAAAAGAGAAGAATGCACAAGCGTAGTGTTTGATCTTTACCACATAGATCTAACGTCACCATCGGTTGCTTTCAGTATTTTCTTTGAAATCACATAAAGGTTCAAATGTGCCAAATTTCATAAGGATCACATGATAAGGTCAAGAAATACAAATTCCAAGGCAGAATTTATATGCCCAGTTCACATATGACAATAATACTTTATAACCATATGTTGAATCTAATACACTGTATGTAAATGCTATTCTTGAACGCCATCCAATCAATAAAACCTAAGATAAATAACACTTTAATAAATGGAGTAGATGGGCTCTGTGGCAAGAACACCCCTATAAAGTGGACATCCAGAGGCTGTTAAAACCAGGAGAGAAAAACAAACTCGAAACTAAAGAAAACTGAATATTTAACTGAAGTTTAAAAAAGCCTGCCATGTTGTATGCCAAGAGACAGCAGTCGTCGTTTTTTTTTTAAGGAGTGAGTTCAATAAAAACTATGCATTGCCAAGCCTTAAAAGGCAAATTCACTTAGCCATCACAAATAGCAGCTATGTAGAAATAGATATTTAAATATATACCATTGAGCAGGAAATTGTAAAGAATCGCACCATATTAAAAAGTGAAAAGTCACAACAAAAAAACAAATTTAAGTACTGTGTATAATTGTAACTATAGAAAATTGACCAATTTTGATCATTAAGCCTATGGGGAAAGCTACTGAAGTTAGCTTCAAAGCCTCGCAGTTAAAAATGATTGCTATATCAGTAAATGCTCAAACAGATCAGATAGAAAGCGGTAGTACTCCACAGCATCTCTGAACCTGTATATGCCTTTAAAAACAAAACAAAATGGAAAAGGCTGCCCTTTTTCTTTATTTTGCTGGCAGGATCACATTAAACATAGAGCGAAATCTAACCATTCAACTGTTGGCAATTCATTTTTGTTTTGTTTTGTTTTTTCTCTCAGGCTGGCAGTTCATTTTTACAGAAACTTTACTTCACTCAGAGATGAGATAAAATTCAAAACATATTTTGCTCTGTGGTGAATTGGGAGGGAAATGGTTTCAGCATTCCACCTCCACCAGAGATAGCTGCTTTGTTTGGGTACAAGTCCCTGTGTGCTTTATGAGTGCCAGTCAATGAGTCCATGAGGCCGGAGTGCAACGATTTAATGTTTACTTGCTCTCATGTATCAGTGTGAGCCTTACAACAAAAAATGAGGTATCTGTGAGGTAATTATTTTTCATTTCCATTTTGTCACTTCAGACCCTGGAAAGACTCTGCCCGAGGCCCTTGACTACTGCACTGTTTGGCTGCAAACAGTGGCTGGAGAAATCGACAGCAAAAGTGGCATTCCTCCTTCCCTTGTAACGCTGCAAATGAGAGACTTTCTTAATGGACCAGGTAAGGGAGCCCTCATTCAGGTGTAGTGCTGTCAGGTAAGCATTGGAAGGCTAACCGCAGGGTTGGTGGTTCTAAACCACCAGCCGCTCCTCAGCATACAGTTGAAACTGTCTGTTTTCATTTCAGAAACTCCATAGATAGGGTCCCGGTGAGCTAGACTCATCTCACTGGCACTGGATTTGGTTTTGGTTCGGTACATTTTTTTAATCCAAGTTTACTAATATGTACATAAGATCTGATACATATTAACTGACTTTTTTTTTTTTTTTAACCGAGAATGAGTAATTTGACCGAGAGACATTGAGCGACAGCTGACCCTGGTCTCAGGCTCCAATAAAGCTTCTCATTCGACTGAACAAAAAGAACGAGTCGTTCGTTTTCCAGAAGTGTACTGTTTTCAGGGTGCCCGGTCTCGAGATAAAAGGCAAATATAAATATGCACTGAACTGATTTTTAGTCTTATACAAATTATAATTTAAAGATAGTTAACTACAACCAAAGACCCAAAATTGTATTACTGCCTTTTATTTTAATTACGCTTGTGATCCTTGTCAATCCATCTTATTTCTTTTGCCTCAATTCCCTCTTCTATAAAAGACAATGAAATGGATGGATGGATGGATGGATGGATGGATGGATGGATGGATGGATGGATGGATAACATACAAAATATACATATGAAGAGTATACATGTATGCATACACAGATAAAGGCTTATTTTACATGCTTAGCAAAGTGTCAACTGTTGGGTGCTGTCAAGTTCATTGCAATTCATAACACCATGAAGAACAGAGCAACACACTGCCTGGTCCAGCACCAGCACCACAATCATTGCTACATGTGGTTCATTATTATAGCTACTGTGCCAGTCCACCTCAATGAGGATCTTCCTCTTTACCAAGCACAATGTCCTCCCAGGACTGGTCTCTCCTGATAACATGCCCAAAGTACGTAAGATGAAGTCTCTCTATCCTTGCTTCTAAGGAGCATTCTGGCTGTAATTCTTTCAAGACAGATCTGTTTGTTCCTCTGGCAGTCGTGATATGTTCAATGTTCTTCACCACTACAGTGATTCAATCCCATCCATTCTTCTTTTGTCTTCCTTATTCATTGTTCAGCTTGTGCATACATGTGAGTCTTAGGGATACCCATCTCAAGATACACTGAGCTTACTATGTCCCAGGAAGTAAGTGCCTTACAGACTCACATAAGGAATAAGAAGTCCTTAAAATTATTCCTGTTTTACGACAAGGAAATTAAGACTTGGAAAGGCAAGTAAATTGGCCAAAGTCAACACTGTAGAGGGGCCATTCAAACCCAGCCCTTTATGACCTCAAAGACTTAAAAGCTCTTAACTTTTGCACCAAATAATTTTAGCATAGCCAAAGACTTTTCTCTTTCTTCTAGTTCCTCTTCTCCCTTCTCCTTTTTCCTCCTTGGTTTTTCCTTCTTCCTCATGTACCTCTTCCTAGTCTCCTTTTTTGCTATTATTTTGCCTCACCCTAGGGAAGTCTTGGCTGTTTATTTAACAGACATTACTACATTTCCATTTTCCTTTTACTTTATACTCAAAGCACTTGAGACTGTATTAGTCATTGAATGAATATTTGTTTCTTCATTAAGAATGTGAAACAATGATGTAACATTGTCTTTAGATCTCTTGCAATATGGTGCAAGGCATGAGTTTTGATGAGTGACAAATATCCACATGCAGACCTTGTAGAATGTGTGTGCTGTGGCTTGCCAATTCATTATGATCCACAGCTACACGTGGCTAAGTTCTAAAGCATGTTTCTTCATGACTGTGATGTAAAAGGTGTGGAATATGAAGAACTATTTCTCATCATGAGAAATAGCTAGGCTGGGTTTTAAAGACTCAAAGGAAGGCAGGAAGCTGGCGATGAAGCTTACAGAACTCATTATAAGTTGGTGAGGCAATGGATGGATTGAGAGGAATGTGAGACTTAGTGCTTGGTTAGTGAGTTTCGTTATGTACTGAAATTCATTGAATCCAAGCGACTACCAATTGAGGCTGGGGAAACAGGCCTAGGGGAAATGATACAATACATTCTTTTTCACATAAAGAATAGGGTGTGTCCTGCTTCCTGGGTGGTTCACATGTGGATACACGGGCAGGTTACAATGGATGGGTGGTTAGTTCATGGCACAGTGACAGGGAGACTGAGCTTTCACTCTTAGACTCTCTTTTCCAGCTTCCGGTCCTTTTTTGTTTTTAGACACAGACTCTAATTTGCTTTGGCTAGAAAATTCTGTCATAATTTACAATTAATTGAATTAGATATGTGTGTAAAAAGGAGGGGATGTACAAGTCGATAGTAAATTGCATACCATGTTTCAAAATCAAGCAAATGATTGGAGCTGTAGGAGAAATGCTCACAGGGTAATGGAAAATTGTATATAATTATTACACTTAGAGTGGCTCTACAGTAGAAATAGAACTAAAAATTTATTGTTAAACTCGTTTATATACAGTTGTCAGCTGTAGATTTGTATTCAGCCTGTGTCAAGACCCCACGTTGACATGAGTGAAATGACCATTCTTTTCTAGCAGTGCTCCCCAAACTTCTCAAGCACATCGGGTCACTTGTTAAACTGCGGTCGAGGGTCTTGGTCTGGGAACTATGCTTTTGAGCAAGGTTTTACATGAGTATTATATATGAAATATGTGTGTAATTTTGTAAAAGCGCCAGCTACAGTTTTGAGCACCAAAATAAGCTTGGATTGGGGGGCATGAAGAGAGGAAAGATACAAAGAAAACTGAGTCGTTTTTAACATGATGTTTTTACTGTGAAAAATAAAAAGCATTGTCCCGTGAATGCTTAAAGTTCATTGTCTGAACATTTTGGCCAAGAGAACCTGTGTTTCATAAAGTATTTGAGGGAAGGTTTGTGTACGTGATGGATCAGCTTTGTGGAATTCCCAGTAATAACACTAACCAAGAGGCCTTGAAATGCTGCAGCATTTACTATCTTAGACAAAATCTGCCTTACTATAAATAACTTGTCATGAAAGTACCTAAGCATGAGTCCCTGGGAGTAAACGGCTAAGTGCTCAACTACTGATCAGAAGGTGGGCATCAGTTTGATGCCTGTCACCTCCCCACTCATGTACTTGGAAAGACTGACCTGCGATCTCCTTTTGCAAGGTTATGGCCTTAAACACCCCACGGAGTAGGCAAAGGGTTGGCAAAGGGTTAGCATCAACCCCATCGCAACTGACAACAGTGGCTCAACCCTGAGTAAAGTAGATAAGTAAATATTATTGCTGAAATAGTGAAATGAGATGAACAAGACTCAATGAGCCATTTCTTGCCATATGAATGTATTGCTTTATGGATTTTTGAAACTCAAGGGAATTACATTTTTATCTAGATTTTAGGTAGTAGGAATGTGATAGATATAGGTTTAGATACCGATATAGCCACTGCCAGCAAGTTGATGCCAATTCACAGTGACTGTATGGGACAGGGTAGAGCTGCTCCTTAGGGTTTCTGAGAATGTACCAGGAGACTCTCTTTACAGAAGCAGACAGCCTCATCTGTCTCCTGCCTGGGTTCCTGGGTTAGGAAATAAACATCAGCTTTGTGATATTGCTCAATGTCATACCTCTGGTTGAAAAATAAAAAGACTTCATATCGTATTCTATTTAATGCGTCTAATTTTTATGCAGTGTTAACATTAAAAAGATTTTGACAGCCATTTGTTTTTCAACCAACACCTATTTTTAAATTTGTTCTCAAAGAAAACATTACATATGCTACACCTCTAAAATACTCTATTTCCATTCATTGATTCTTGCTTTGAGTAAAGGTGACAGTCAGTACCAATGAAACTTGTGATCCTGGAAGGCGGAGGAAATGCTGATTATAACTACCTAATCTTAAAATTTCAAATATGTATTCATACCTACAATGAATTCATGCCTTCAGAAGGTATGGATTCAGCTTTGGGGGTTTGTTTTCGGGGACGCTTGTCTCTAAACCAAGTGACTGAGATGCTGCTTATTAGTGTTTGTTTTTGAAGACCCACTCAAGGTTCATCGCCATTCACCTAGTTCCTCTGTTCACTTAATAATATTTTGCAGCCAATGGCAGGTCCCAACTTCCTCATTCAAATAAACCTCTTCAAAGCTCCCTCCACCCCCACCTTCACCTTTTTCCTTCTGAGGCAACCATTGTGCCCATTAGCGAGGTCATTGGCTTGGAGAAACCTGGGAAACGGCAGCTACCAGAAACCCACTAGAATAATATCTCCAGCAGGTGATAGATTAGTTGGAACAAATTGGAACCATTGCAGTTCAGCCATCCTGGTTTCTTTCAAGCTGTTTTTAAAATGTCGTCATTTTAATACACAATCTAAGCCCTGCGGAACAGTCCGCAGCAGGTTAATTTGAATCAGATGATGTGTCACCGCCCTCAGCTGACATGAGCTCCAGTCCATGTGTGAAGCCATAATAAATCCATTCCCAACCGAGGAGAATTCCCCGGGAGAAGGTGAACTAATCCAGGCCTCACACTGGCATGCTAGCCCTCTGTAATTGAAAGCAGAGCCACCTGTTCCCAGCCCACTTCGTCTATGGAGACAAAATTAGCATTAGATTCGTTATTTCTTATATTGAAAAATCATTCGGACTCCTTGCAAATTCAAATTCAGCTGTGAGCTGTTTGGCTATGACATCATACAGAACTCTAGGAATGTGCCTACTTGATCCTATTTTTAAAGTTTTGTTAACCATACTGTGAAATGAGATTTTTTTTTTTTAATTTAATGAGAGCTGACACGTGAGAAGAAGAACTGCTATGGGTGCAGATTTTTCTAATTAACTCAGGATCATTTGCAAAAACATTTGAGCTCCCTGGTAAGTTTTTTTGTTTTTGTTTTTCATTGTTCTTGTGCAGACAAATTTTTGAACAACTCTCACTAGCCATGAAATGACATTTAAACGATGACAGAAGGGGGGGGGGTGTGCCAAACTGGGAG